CTTCACGATCCTGCGTGAGTTTTCAACAACTTTAATGTTCAACAGGCCATCACACTCAAAGTTTACTCTAAGACTGTCTCACACACTCAAAGCTCTTTAAGATTGCTCCCACACACTCAAAGCTTACTTCTACACTGTCCACACACCTTCACTTCAACACGTCCATACTCAAAAGTTTACTCTAAGACTCGGGTCTTACACTTCAAAGTTTACTCTAAGACTGTCCACACACTCAAAGCTTACTCTAAGACTGTCTCACACACTCAAAGTTTACTCTAAGACTATCCACACACTCAAAGCTTTCATTTCCTAAGACTGTCCACACACTCAAAGCTTCTACTTAGCACTGTCCACACACCAAATGTTTACTCTAAGACTGTCCACAGGAGGAAATCTCAACCTGTAGTTGATGGTTTCTTGTGTTGACGCTGTTAGGCGGCAGGAACGGTGATCACAGGCCAGTGTACTCCTCTGCACCTGATTTACACACGCCCAATTGCCAGCCCACAGGTCCTATGGAGGTGCACCCAGCCCGGTTGACCACTACAACCACTTTTTTCATGCCACGCCCAGTCACCCCCTCCTACTCCTCACACCTCTACCCCCAACCTCACGCATCATCTCCTCTGGTAATGAAGGAGGTTATGGGTGTATCTTATATAAAACAGATGCGCTGACCTCCTCATCACTGCCTTTACGATGTGTCTCCTGCTTGTTTCCATATCATAGTCTTGTTTCTACATTGTCAACAATCTTAGAGCTCACTCCCGGAACACTCTAAAGAGCACTCACACTCTACTACGATTGTACACTACATATTTAGAGATTACTGTACTGGTTTTAAAAGTACAGCAAGTATTATGCTACTGTGTAAACACTGTCGCTGCTACTATACTTTTTACAATACGTTAGTGTGTTTACTGGATATATATACACACACACACACATTATCATCGTACGTCCTGGTCTTGCACTCACATTAAACCTGGGATCAACACATTTCCTTTCATCAGCACTTGCATCCCTGCATGCACGCCCACAGACCCTGCATGCACGCCCACAGACCCCGCAAGTTTCCTATGCCCCTCAGCCAGCGCCCATGGCGATCTGCCCTGCCTCCCCACCTCCTGTTGCCCATGATCGCATTGTTACCTGTCTCTTATCCTGTGCCTCTGTCTGCCTCTCACCTCCTGCTGACTCACACACTCACCTGGCAGTGGGGCACTCAGGTGGTTTGGATCAGCAACCTGAGTCTATCTTTTAGGACACCCTGGAGGACCTTTCCCCACCCCCTGACCCCTTCCCCCCCTTCCTTCTCTTCCTCCCTCCCACCCCTCCCTCCTCTCCTTTCTTTCTTCCTTTTTATCTCTTTTTTCCTTCTTCCTCCCTGCCTCTTTCCTCTCCTCCTCTTCTTTCCTTTTCTCTCCTCATCCTTTTCCCCTTCCCTTCATCTCTCCTCCTTTTTTCTTCCTTTCCTCCATCCCCTCCTTATCCATTTCCTCTTTCTCTCTCCCCTATTCTTTTTTCTTTCTTTTCCTCTATCCCTTCTTCTCTTCCCTCACCTCTTCTCCCTTCCTTCATTCTCTCCTTCCTTCTTCACCCCTTCCTTCACCCTTCCCCTTCTCACAGCCCATGAAGGTAAGCGACTCCCCAGGAGATCACTGAGAGAGAACCTCACTGCTTGCACACACTTTCTCATTATAAGTACAGACGTCACCCCCCATCAACCCCCTGTACCTCAATTTGGCCCCCCCAATTCTAATTAATTCCCTACCCAGCTCCTCAACTTACCCACTTCCACGTAGTCTAAAATCGCACGCCATTATATACTATGCAACCTTTCCCCACCTACCATACCCTCCCCACCTACCACACGTGAGGAGAACACACTTAACAACACCCCACACACCCCACACCACCACCACACCTCACACACCACACCACACCACCACACCAAACCACCCACCCATACACCACACCACCACCCACCACACCACACCACACCCCCACCACCATCATAACCCACCACACACCATCACCACACCACACCTCACACCACCACACCAAACCACACCAACCATACACACACCACCACACCCACACACCACACCACACCTCACCACCATCATAACCCCACCACACCTCATCACTATACCACACCTCACCACACCACCACCGTCACCACACCACCCATACAACTTACCACATCACACACCACCTACACCACACCACCATCACAACCTCACCACACCTCTATACCACCAACAACCTCACCACAAACACAGCCTCAGAGACAAAAAAAAAAAAAAACACCGAGTTAAACGTAGCTATGTAACCACAGACAGACGAGACAGACAGACACAAGACATAATGAGACATAAACAGAGCCATCATTATCGAGGAACCTGAGGGTGATGTGTAAAAGTCACTGTTACCAGAATTATCCAACACGTTATGTAAACAAATATTTAGGTGTTGTGTTTACTTTCTGACAGTTAGTTATGAGACATTAATAGTGATAAAGTTTAATGATGAGTGTGTGTGTGTGTGTGTGTGTGTAGTGTGTGTGTGTGTATATTTATATTACACATCTTACTACAATTTAGCAATCAGGCAAATAAGAGTGTGAGTAGTAAATACAAATATATAAATACACACACACACACACACACACACACACACACACACACACACACACACACACACACACACACTCAAACACACACACACACACACACACACACACAACACACATACACTCACACACACACACACACACACTAGATCGCAAGAGGCCATTGTTTGAAATATGGCCAGTGTCACCAACATCACCCAGAGCAGACCCAGCCCACCCACGCCTCCCCACACGCCTCCCACTACACACCCACACACCCCCACCACCCCCCCCACTGTATATCCCCCCACACCCACACGCCTCCTCCCCACTGTATATCCCCACCCCCACACCCCCCCACCCCCCACGCCCTCACCCCACACACCTCCCCTCATCAAATCCCCAAGCCTCACCCACACGCCCCTCCCCCACAGATATCCCCACGCCCCACCCACACACCTCCCCCACACCCCACCCCACCACCCCCAATCCCCACCCCACAAACACCCCCCACTGCATACCCCCACGCCCCTCACCCCCAACACTCATCCCCCACTGTATATCCCCACGCCCTCACCTACACTCCCCCCCACTGTCATCCCACGCCCTCACCTACACTCCTCCCCACTGTATATCCCCATCACGCCCTCACCTACACGCCTCCTCCCTACTGTATATCCCCACGCCTCCCCCCTACCGTATATCCCACGCCCTCACCTACACGCCTCCTCCCCACTGTAATCCCCACGCCCCTCACCTACAGCCTCCTCCCCTACTGTATATCCCCACGCCTCACCTACACGCCTCCCCCCACTGTATATCCCCACGCCCTCACCCACACGCCTCCCCCACTGTATATCCCCACCCCCTCACCTACACGCCTCCCTCCCCCCTGTATATCCCCACCTCACCCACACGCCTCCTCCCCCACTGTATATCCCCACGCCCCTCACCCACGCCTCCTCCCCACTGTATATCCCCACGCCCTCACCTACACGCCTCCCCCCCTACTGTCATCCCCACGCCCTCACCTACACGCCTCTCCCCACTGTATATCCCCACGCCCTCACCTACACGCCTCCTCCCCTACTGTAATCCCCACGCCCTCACCTACACGCCTCCCCCTACTGTATATCCCCACGCCCTCACCTACACGCCTCCTCCCCACTGTATCCCCACGCCTCACCTACACGCCTCCTCCTCCCTACTGTACATCCCCACCCCTCACCTACACGCCTCCTCCCCCTACTGTATATCCCACGCCTCACCTACACGCCTCCCCTCCTGTATATCCCCACGCCCTCACCCACACGCCTCCCCCCCCTGTATATCCCCACGCTCACTACACGCCTCCTCCCCTCCTGTATATCCCTCCCCATGCCTCACCCATACGCCTCCTCCCCACTGTATATCCCCACGCCTCACCTACACGCCCTCCTCCCCTACTGCATCCCCACGCCCCTCACCTACACGCCTCCCCACTGTAATCCCCACGCCTCACCCACACGCCTCCTCCCCCACACTGCATATCCCTCACGCCCCCACCTACACGCCTCCCCACTGTATATCCCCACGCCCTCACCTACACGCCTCCTCCCCCACTGTATATCCCCACGCCCTCACCCACACGCCTCCCACTGTATATCCCCACGCCCTCACCTACACGCCTCCCCACTGTATATCCCACGCCCTCACCTACACGCCTCCTCCCTCTGTATATCCCCACGCCCCCCCCTACTGTATGTCCCCACGCCCTCACCTACACGCCTCCTCCCCCCTGTATATCCCCACCCTCACCTACACGCCTCCTCCCTACTGTATATCCCCACGCCCTCACCTACACGCCTCCCCCCACTGTATATCCCCACGCCCTCACCCACACGCCTCCCCTACTGTATATCCCCACGCCTTCACCTACACGCCTCCTCCCCTACTGTATATCCCCACGCCCTCCCCCCCACTGTATATCCCACGCCCTCACCCACACGCCTCCCCCATTGTATATCCCCACGCCCCTCACCTACACGCCTCCCTCCCCTACTGTATATCCCCACGCCCTCACCCACACGCCTCCTCCCCTACTGTAATCCCCACACCCCCCACCTACACGCCTCCTCCCCTACTGTATATCCCCACGCCTCACCTACACGCCTCCTCCCACTGTATATCCCCACGCCCTCACCCACACGCCTCCCCCCTACTGTATCCCCACCCCTCACCTACACGCCTCCCCCCTCTGTATATCCCCACGCCCTCACCCCCTCCTCCCCTGCATATCCCCACGCCCTCACCTACACGCCTCCCCACTGTATATCCCCACGCCCTCACCTACACGCCTCCTCCCTACTGTATATATCCCCACGCCCTCACCTACACGCCTCCCTACTGTATATCCCCACGCCCCTCACCTACACGCCTCCTCCCCTACTGTATATCCCCACGCCCTCACCTACACGCTCCCCCTACTGTATATCCCACGCCTCACCTACACGCCTCCTCCCCTACTGTATATCCCCACGCCCTCACCTACACGCCTCCCTACTGTATCCCCACGCCTCACCTACACGCCTCCTCCCCTATTGTATATCCTCACGCCCTCCAACATAGCCATGCCTCAACCACAACTCACCCAACACCTCCCTACACCCCTCCTGTACACCCTCACCTACACCCCCCACCACGCACCCACAACACCACCTGGTACACGTCACTGAATCAATTAAAACTTGTACCAAATATTTCAGGTACCAGGCCACCCACTGCACTTACACCGTCCCAGGGTAGACGCTGTTCAGGCTGTTCACTGCCCCCTTGAGGAAGATGCACTTGACTGTATTCTTCTCTCTCTCTCCTGTTCTTTCTCTCTTTCTCCCCATGGCCCAGACACACCCCTTCCAGGAGTACCTAGGCCCAGGACACCACCCTCCTCTGAGTACCTAGGGCCCAGACACAACCTCCCTGTGAGTACCTGGCTCCAGGAACACACTGGGTCACTTGGTTCTGTGCCCTGAGAGATACTGACATTAGCCAACACGAGCACTGTCTTCACCGTCTTCTTCTCCTCCTCGGTGATGTCTTCAATAACAACAGATAAATAAGACACTGACCAATACACTAAAATAACCAGCGAGAGTCTCTATCCCCCTTCCTCCACACCTCTCTCTCCCTTTACACAGGTGAGGAAGATGTGACAGGTTGATGGCTAATTAAAAACAAAAGTCGCTCTTTAAACTAACACCTTAATTTATAGCCTAGATTAGTGACGTCATACAAGTAGTGACGACATGGAGACAGTGACGAAATGGAGATAGTGACGACATCAAGATACTGATGACATGGAGATAGTGACGGCATGGGGAGTGACGTCATACAGATAGTGACGTCATTGGGAACGTGGATGTTAATCGATTTGTGGATCGTGTTCTGGGGTATGGTTAGCCAGTGCAGTTGGCGAGTTGTCCGGTCTTCTCGGACTATTCCTTGACACTGGGTCACGCAACTCGTTAACTTAGGGTGTGGTTGTTGTTTTGGCCTCCAGCTTCTACACGAGGGTCAACCATTATTACTATACCGTCAAGGAGGTGTAGTGTTGATAAGGTCATAATGTCATTGCTCGTGAGTGGTGGTTTTCGATGACCTTTGACCTAGACTGATACTGATCAAAAAAGCATTCAGTATAAATTCTAGTCTCAGATTAAACCAGCTGTAAAATGTACTTTGTGGAGGCGGTGGGTGTTGAGGATGATACCATGCCTGCAACAACAGTCACAACAACACAAACTAAGCCACGCCATCTGCAAAAATTTAATAGAGCCAAAAGCACAAACACACAGCCGCAACACAAACACACAGTCGCAACACACAAACACAGTCACAACACAAACACACAGTCCCAACACAAACACACAGCCGCAACACAAACACAGTCGCAACACAAACACACAGTCGCAACACAAACACACAGCCGCAACACAAACACAGCCGCAACACAAACACACACAGCCGCAACACAAACACACAGCCGCAACACAAACACAGCTGCAACACAAACACACAGCCGCAACACAACACACAGCCGCAACACAAACACAGCCGCAACACAAACACACAGCCATACACACCTGGAGGCCACTGTACACCCTGATATATACTTAATTGGAAATAACTGTACACACGAACACTGTCATACAAGGAGAAGTTTAGTTGCAAGAACATTCCGGACACTGTTGTAATAATCTTCGATACAGTGTGAACATCACCACACTGTACCGACCTCTAAGTACACTCAACGATCACTGTTTACATTATATTTACGATATTGATCACTTGAAGTTTAGTCATCCCAGCTTATTGCACATGATCAACTACCCAAATTTGACCCAACACTAACCTGACCAAACGCTAACCAAGCTTAACCTAACCTAACGCTAACCTAACCTAACCTAACCAACCCTAACTTAAACTCCAACCCAACACCTAATTGGGGGTGTCTAACCTGTGCTCTTCCACGGTATTTAGTCAGATCTCACTCGATATTTTTCCCACCAGAAAATGACATAGGCTGGAGCTCTTCTAACACACAACATGGCCTCTTACTGATGGCAAAGACCAAAGTGTGTGTGACCACGTGCAGTGCCTCTACGGGCGTTACCTTAAAATTAATGTAAGTGGTCAGCGTTGCCTTAGGTGGCGCTCTTTCTCCACGGGGGTCAACACTACGACCTCACCCCGCCCGCCCCAAGATGGCAAAGCAGGGAAGGGGGGGAGGGGGGTTTGGGAAAAGAGGGGAAGGAGAAGGTGTCCAGGAGCCCCCAGCCCCACCTCCTGCAGCACAAACAAGCCACTGACAACATCTTAATGTTAATTAGTCAAGAGCCATTCCTGCTGGATGGGTGGAGGGGGTTCTGCCCATACACTTCCCACCACACACAACACACGTAAAAACAAGACGTGCACTTTTCCCTGCCCCACGTATGTACATACCAACCCTGCACCACTGCAAGCATGCAAGCACACGCAACACATCTCCCGCACCTCCTATCATGCACGACAACACACACACACACACACACACACACACACACACACACACACACAGGCCGGCAGGGCAGCTAATGTGTAATAACCGGGACTAACACAGCCTGGATACAATCTTAATAAGAGGCGTTAGTCAAGACGGCAACAGGTGCCCGTGGAGGGCGGGCAGCCTAGGCTACCTGACCACCGGAAAACACGAGTTCGAGCCTGAGCGACCTGTTGCCCAAGGGGAGGAGGGAGGAATCAGGAGGGGGGGGACTGAGGGAGGGGTAAGAGATGTCGCAATCTTCTCTCCTCTCTTTCCTTCCACCTTCTCCCCCCGTCTGGCCAACTCTTAGTTTCTTGTGCAATGAGAGAGAGAGAGAGAGAGAGAGAGAGAGAGAGAGAGAGAGAGAAGAGAGAGAGAAGAAGGAAAGACGAATATCTACCAAGACGAATCTTACCCAAATAAACCCATTAACCAAACCATTAAACCCAGCAACATAAAACAAAAAACCTTCCTCCAACAATTCTTTTCAATTTAACCACACAACACTCTGATAAGTAAACCACACCAGCATAAAACACACGATAAAACTCGACAATCTCCAATAAACCCTAAAATTAAATCCCAAGGTAAATAAACCATAAAATTAACCAAAACAATAATTTAAAAACCACATCAAAGTAAAAACAATAATAACTACGCAAATATACCACACCAAAATAAACCACAACAATAACTTACAAATAAACCACAATTATAACACAAATAAACTCATGAAACTAAACCCATAATAATAACTAGTAAAATACACCTCACCAAATAAACCACAATAATAATTTAGCTAATCACGGGTTTGTTCGGCATAGACCTGCTCCACCACGTCAGCTCTGTCCCTGTAAATGCCACTTTACTATAGGGCGTGTCTGTCGGGTCCCGTGTAAGCCTGGCCGAACTGAGAGCGGCGGCAAGAGACGGAGGAGTCACCTGAGGAGATATAGGTCCTAGGTCTCCCTGTTGTAGGTCCAGTCCCCTGATGTAGGTCCTAGGTCTCTGATGTAAGCACCCAGGGTCCCCTGATGTAGGTCCCAGTGCCCTGATGTGGTCCTAGGTCTCCCTGATGTAGGTCCCAGGTCCCCTGATGTAGGTCCCAGGTGCCCTGATGTAGGTCCCAGGTGCCCTGATGTAGTCCCTAGGTCCCTGATGTAGTCCCTAGGTCCCCCTGAGGTCCCAGCTCCCTGATGTAGGTCCTAGGTCCCCGTGATGTAGTCCCCTAGGTGTCCTGATGTAGGTCTCATTGATGTAGGTCCTAGGTCTGATAGTCCCTAGGTCCCCTGATGTAGTCCCTTGTGATGTAGGTCTGTCTCCCTGATGTAGGTCCCAGGTGCCCCTGATAGTCCCGGTGCCCCTGATGTAGGTCCCAGTTCCTGATGTAGTCCCCAGGTGCCCTGATGTAGGCCGAGGTTGATGTAGTCCCTAGGTGTCCTTGATGTAGGCCCAGGCCCGTGATAGTTCCCCTAGGTGCCCTGATGTAGTCCTAGGTCCCCGATGTAGTCCCTAGGTGTCCCTGATGTAGGTCCTAGTCTCCCTGATGTAGGTCCTAGGTCCCCGTGATGTAGTCCCTAGGTGTCCCTGGATGGGTCCCAGTCCCCCTGATGTAGGTCCTAGTGCCCCTGACAGTCCCCTAGGTCCCCTGATGTAGGTCCTAGTCTCCCTGATGTAGTCCCCTAGGTGCCCTGATGGGTCCTAGGTCCCTGTGATGTAGTCCCAGGTGTCCCTGATGTGTCCCCAGGTGCCCTGATGCAGGTCCCAGGTGCCCTGATGGAGGTCCTCCCAGTCCCGTGATGCAGCCCTAGGTCCCTGATGTAGTCTAGGTCCTGATGGTGGTCCCAGTCTCTGATAGTCCCTAGGTCCCCTGATGTAGTCCCCAGGTCCCCTGATGGTCCCAGGTGCCCTGATGTAGGTCCGTCTCCTGATGTAGTCCCTAGGTCCCCCTGAGGTCCCTAGGTCCCCTGATGTAGTCCCTAGGTGCCCCTGATGTAGGTCCTAGTTCCCTGATGCAGTCCCTAGGTGCCCTGATAGGTCCTGTCTCCTGATGTAGTCCCTAGGTGCCCGATGCAGGTCCCAGGTCCCCCTGATAGTCCCAGTCCCTGATGCAGTCCCCAGGTCTCGATGGGGTCCTAGGTCCCCTGATGTAGGTCCTAGGTCCCGATGCAGGGTCCTACCCTGATGTCCCCAGGTTCCCTGATGGAGTCCCAGGTCCCCTGATGTTGGTCCCAGGGTCCCTGATGTAGTCCCTAGTCCCTGATGAGTCCCTAGCCCCTGATGTGGTCCCAACTCCTGACAGCCAGGTCCCCCTGATGTAGGTCCTAGGTGCCCTGATGTAGTCCCTAGTGCCCCTGATGAACCAGTCCCCTGATGTAGTCCCCTAGGTGTCCCTGATGTAGGTCCCAGGTCCCTGATGCAGGTCCTAGGTCCTGATGAGTCCCAGGGTCCCCGATGGTCCCCAGGCCCTGATGTAGGTCCTAGGTCCCTTGATGCAGGTCCCAAGGTGTCCCTGATGTAGGTCCTAGGTGCCCTGATGAGTGGGTCCCAGGTCCTGATGTAGTCCCAGGTCCCCTGATGTAGTCCCTAGGTGTCCCTGATGTAGGTCCTAGGTCCTGAGGTAGGTCCTAGTCCCCTTGATGTAGGTCCTATATCCCCTTATGTAGGTCCTAGGTCCCTGAGGTAGGTCCCAGGTCCCTGATGTAGGTCCCAGGTCCCCTGATGTAGGTCCTAGGTCCCTGATGTAGGTCTTAGGTCTCCTCGATGTAGGTCCTAGGTCCCCGTGATGTAGGTCCTAGGTGACCCTGATAGGTCCTAGGTCTCGAGATAGGTCCCAGGTCCCCTGATGTAGGTCCCAGGTCCCCTGATGTAGGTCCTAGGTCTCTGATGTAGGTCCTAGGTCTCCTGAGGTAGTCAATCTTTCCCCAAAAGAGAGCCATTAAGAGCTGTTTAGGGCGACGTGTAGACCTGAAGGAGCCATTAAGAGCTGTTTAGGGAGGTAGACCTGAAGGAGCCATTAGCAGCTGTTTAGAGCGACGTAGACCCGAAGGAGCCATTAAGAGCTGTTTAGGGCGACGTAGACCTGAAGGAGCCATTAAGAGCTGTTTAGGTGATAAACCCGAAGGAGCCATTAAGAGCTGTTTAGGCGACGTGTAGACCTGAAAGACCATTAAGAGCTGTTTAGACGATGTAGACTCAAAGGACATTAGCAGCTGTTTAGAGCGACGTGTAGACCTGAAGGACGCTTAAGAGCTGTTTAGGCGACGTGTAGACCTGAAGGAGCCATTAAGAGCTGTTTAGGGTGATGTAAACCTGAAGGAGCCTAAGAGCTGTTTAGGGCGACGTAGACCTGAAGGAGTTAGAGCTGTTTAGGCGACGTAGACCTGAAGGAACAGCACCTACCAAGGACCAAACAAAGACCCTGTTAAGACCCAGAAGAACCCACCAAAACCCACGAGACCAAAACCCATGAAGACCTCAACAAACCCACGAGGACCAGGTAAACCCATGAAGACCTCAACAAAAGCCACGAGGACCAAGTAAACCATCAGTACCACAAAGACCCACCAGAACCCAAGAGGACCCACCAAGAACCCAAGAGGACCCACCAGAACCCAAGAGGACCCAAGAACCCCAGAGGACCCACCAGAACCCAAGAGGACCCACCAGAACCCAAGAGGACCCACCAGAACCCACGAGAACCCACCAGTACTCCAGAGGACCCACCAGAACCCAAGAGGACCCACCAGAACCAAGAGGACCCACCAGAACCAAGAGGACCCACCAGAACGAGAACCAACAGAACCCAAGAGGACCCAGAACCCAAGAGGACCCTACCGAACCCACGAGACCACTAGTACCCAAGAGGACCCACCAGAACCCAAGAGGACCCACCAGAACCCAGAGAGACCAACAGAACCCAAGAGGACCCACCAGAACCCAAGAGGACCCACCAGAACCAAGAGACCCACCAGAACCCAAGAGACCCACCAGAACCCCAAGAGACCCACCAGAACCCAAGAGGACCCACCAGAACCCAAGAGGACCTCACAGAACCCAAGAGGACCCACCAGAACCCAAGAGGACCCACCAGAGCCCCAGAGGACCCACCAGAACCCAAGAGGACCCACAGAACCCCAGAAGGACCTACCAGAACCCAAGAGGACCCACCAGAACCCCAAGAGGACCTACCAGAACCCAAGGACCCACCAGAACCCAAGAGGACCTCACCAGAACCCAAGAGGACCCACGAACCCAAGAGACCTACCAGAACCCAAGAGGACCCAACAGAACCCAAGAGGACCCACCAGAACCCAGAGGACCTAACAGAACCCAAGAGGACCCACCAACCCAAGAGGACCTAACAGAACCCAAGAGGACCCACCAGAACCCAAGAGGACCCCACCAGAACCCAAGAGGACCCACCAGAACCCAAGAGACCCACGAGAACCCAAGAGGACCCACCAGAACCCAAGAGGACCCAATGAACCCAAGAGGACCCACCAGAACCCAAGAGGACCCACCAGACCCCAGAGGACCCACCAGAACCCAAGAGACTCTAAAGAACCCCAAGAGGACCCACCAGAACCCCACAGAGGACCACCAGAACCCAAGAGGACCCACCAGAACCCAAGAGGACCCACCAGAACCCAAGAGGACCCACCAGAACCCAAGAGGACCCACCAGAACCCCAAGAGACCTACCAGAACCCAAGAGGACCCACCAGAACCCAAGAGGACCCACCAGAACCCAAGAGGACCCAAAGAACCCAAGAGGACCCACCAGAACCCAAGAGGACCCACCAGAACCCAAGAGGACCCACCAGAACCCAAGAGGACCTACCAGAACCCCAGAGGACCCACCAGAACCCAAGAGGACCCACCAGAACCCAAGAGGACCCACCAGAACCCAAGAGGACCCACCAGAACCCAAGAGGACCCACCAGAACCCAAGAGGACCCACCAGAACCCAAGAGACCCACCAGAACCCAAGAGACCCACCAGAACCCAAGAGGACCCACCAGAACCCAAGAGGACCCAACCAGAACCCAAGAGGACCCACCAGAACCCAAGAGGACCTACCAGAACCCAAGAGGACCCACCAGAACCCAAGAGGACCCACCAGGAACCAAGAGACCACCAGAACCAAGACCCACCAGAACCCAAGAGGACCCACCAGAACCCAAGAGGACCACCAGAACCCAAGAGGACCCACCAGAACCCAAGAGGACCCACCAGAACCCAAGAGGACCCACCAGAACCCAGAGACCCACCAGAACCCAAGAGGACCCACCAGAACCCAAGAGGACCCACCAGAACCCAAGGGGACCCACCAGAACAAGAGGACCCACCAGAACCCAAGGACCCACCAGAACCCAGACCCACAGAACCCAAGAGGACCCACCCCCAGAACCCAAGAGGACCCACCAGAACCCCAGAGAGAGAACCCACCCCAGAGACCCACCAGAACCCAGGACCCACAGAACCCACCCACCAGAACCCAAGGGACCCACAGAACCCCAGAGGACCCACCAGAACCCAAGAGGACCCACCAGAGCCCCAGAGGACCCACCAGAACCCAAGAGGACCCACCAGAACCCAAGAGGACCCACCAGAACCCCAGAGGACCCACCAGAACCCTAAGGACCCACCAGAACCCAAGGACCCACCAGACCCCAGAGGACCCACCAGAACCAAGAGACCCACCAGAACCCAAGAGGACCCACCAGAACCCAAGAGGACCCACCAGAACCCAAGAGGACCCACCAGAACCCAAGAGGACCCACCAGAACCCTAGAGGACCCCAGAACCCAAAGACCCAGCAGGACGTGGCAAGGGCAGCGTGAGGACGGAGGAGCAGCCCCGCCCTTAGGTGCCGCCCAGGACATTTATTACTTTATAATGTAAATAAGGCAGAGTAATGGCTGACCTACCTGCACGCACACACACACACACACACACACACACACACACACACACAAACTCCTGGGTGTAACTATAGACAACAAACTTGACTGGAAGGCCCATGTAAATAACACAGTCAAGGCAGCCTCGTACCGTCTCTACATGCTACGACGACTTAGGTCACTTGGGACACCCACGCCAGAGCTGAGGACCATCTACAACGCCTTTATTCTCCCCAAACTAACGTATGCGTCACCAGCCTGGTCGTCTTCTCTTAATTCCACCCAACAACGTCAGCTAGAGAAGGTACAGAAAAGGGCCTGCAGAATCATGCTCGGCGCAGAATACTCCGGCTACACCAACGCTCTCTCCACCCTGGAAATGCCATCCCTCAGTGACCTCCACCACCAAGCACTGGAAAGGTTTGGCAGTGGACTACTGCACCACCCTCGCCATCGCCACCTCCTGCAGCCCCCACCCAACTCGCGCAGTCCGCCACTACAACAAAATTCAGCCCATAAGAGCCCGCACCGATAGATATAAGAACAGCACCATCCCATCTATTGTTAAAATAATAAACAACTCCTGATTTATGTACTGTACAGCCCTGTAAATGTTTTCAATGCATATTATATCATTATGTTTAAATCAAATGTAAGTCTGTATATTTTCAGCCACCGGCTGCAGTCTATTAATAAACCGTTTATTATTATTATTTAATATTATTATTATTATTACACACACACATACACACACACTCTCTCTCTCTCTATGATAATGTACACACAAAAACGTTCATCTTACGAGACTCCTTGTGTCAAAATAGACGCTTCAACACATCTCTCATGTCAAAGTCGACCACTGTTTGACGAAGGTGTCCCGCCATCCTCACCGCCCACACCCACCCACATCTCGCACACATTCACTCACAAAACGCCCATGCCACTCATCTACATAACGCCCATGCCACTCATCTACATCACGCTGCCACTCATCCATATAACGCCCATGCCCACCCACATCACACCCATGCTACACCTACCCATATCATGTCCATGCCATTACCACCTATATTACGCCCGTGTTACACCTACCCACATCACGCCCATGTTACACCCATCCTAACGTTCTACATCCGGCCATGACTGCCATCACTCCACCCAACATTGTGGCCCCAACTCTCCCCCCCCCCCCCCGCCGCTAGCCATGACCACGCCCACCCCGCCCGCCTTGACTACATCCGCCGCCGCCTGTCCCCGCCACGCCCCCGCCCGCCCACCACACCCACCCTCAATTGTCCTCGCGACATCCGGCCACGCCTATACCCACGCACAAGTCTACATTATACCCAATCTCTTTAGCCATATTTAGGTTAGGTTAGCGTTAGGTTAGCGTTAGGTTAGCGTTAGGTTAGGTTAGCGTTAGGTTAGGTTTGGTTAGCGTTCGGTTAGGTTGGGTTAGATTAGGTTTGGTTAGCGTTAGGTTAGGATAACATAAGTTGGATTATTAGTTAGCGTAGATCAGAAGGGGTTAGGTTAGGTTAGAGTAGGTTAAGCGTTAGGTTAGGATTAAGGGTTAGGTTAGGTTAGAGTCAGGTCAGGTTAGGTTAGGTTAGGTCAGGTCAGGTCAGGTTAGGTTAGGTTAGGTTAGAGTTGGGTTAGGTTAGGTTTGGTTAGCGTTAGGTTAGGATAAGATAAGTTAGGTTAGGTTAGGTTAGAGTTGGGTTGGGTTGGGTTGGGTTAGCGATAGGGTATTTAATCTTCAAGTGACCCGAAAACTATAATAAGTGTCATATGTTATATATACTGTTATATATACCTGTTATATATACGATAATTATAGCGGGTCCTTTTTATATGCATATATATTAATTAATAAGATAAAACCTATATTATACCCTGGTTATATAACGAATATATTAAGTCTTAAAGAAAAAAAACGTTCAAATTATAGCGTGTTTAAGTTTTATAGAAAATGAAGAAGAAAAAGACCTACAATTATCCAAATTTTAAAACAAAAATTATACTAAATACCGGTTAGGTAACGAGGAAATTATAGGTCATCTCAATGTTCTTAATAATAATGATAATAATCCCGAGTCTACAACCAAAAAAGATTATACAAAGTTTTTCTTATCAGTCAACCCAAAAAAACCCAGACCACCAAAATCTCCGCCGCGAAAAGCTTTTAGTGGGGGTATTTTTGTGGTGTAAACATTACATAAAGGAGACTGACGTACACTCGGTCTAAGGTTTATACAAAGTGCTGAAAATGACCACCAACCTTGATCCTGTACCGGTGACAAGAACACAGTCTCTATTATGTATCTGTCTATGTAACACCCGAGATTACAGGTTTGTCTTGGGCCGTCTTTGTAAACATGTAGATTACAGCCAGTTTTGATTAAGTAAAATTGGCGTTACAGTCAGTCTTGTTACACGAAGATTACAGCCAGTCTTGTTGAACCGGGATTACAGCCAGTCTTGTTAAACCAGGATTACAGCCAGTCTTGTTAAACCGGAATTACAGCCAGTCTTGTTAAACCGGAATTACAGCCAGTCTTGTTAAACCGGGAATACAGCCAATCTTGTTGAACCGGGATTACAGCCAGCCTTGATTCAGTAAATTAGATATTACAGTGGGTGTTGTAACTCACAGACTACATCCTGGTTTGGTTCAATAAAATACATATTACAGAGGGTCTTGTAACAGGAAGATTACAGCCTACCTTGATCCACCATAATACACATTATACGTCTGTGTTTTCATGCCAGAAAGTATAATGAACCTTGGTTACGTCAGAAGCAAATTACAGTGCACCTTTATTACACAACAAACACATTACCTAAACACACACACACACACACACACACACACACACACACACACACACACACACACACACACACACACACACAATCACAAAACAACTTTCACAAATATACATAATATATAATTAGTGTGAGTTGTGGTACACAGTGGGAGGTGACAGTGGCAGTACCGCGCTCTCTGGAGGAGGGAGATGTGGTAGTGGTGGTGGAGGGGGACACACCTGCCTCAGGACATAACATACCTGTTGGAGAAAACAATGGCCTGTTAGTAGCTCGTCCACATGGAGAGAAAGAAGCCATTTATAATCATTATCATTATTATTATTATACACAGTACGTATAAAAAAATAGATAAATGATTACTTTATTATCTCTTTTGTGAAGTACATCCATGTAGTTATAAATCACCAAGATAGTATCCAAGAGGCTTTGAGTTGAAGGGATTTTCTCGTATGAAACTAAGAGGTTGTAAAGAGTGAGTTCCTGGAAGACAGTGGGAGGGCCCCCGTCTTCTGGCTGGGCGCCCAAAACATCACACACACACACACACACACACACACACACACACACACACACACACACACACACACACACACACACACACACACACACACACCTTCAGTTCTCTCTCTCTCTCTCTCTCTCTCTCACAGTCAACATCGAAAATAACTGATCATCAGAAAACAACTCACATAACATTAATCAGTTTCTTTATGGGTAATAACTAAAGCTTAAAGCGAAAACCCAGACAAGACCGATTCATGTCTCTATCTGTCACTCTAGACACAACACCACTCAACACCAGGGTGGTATTCAACACCAAGCTGGCACTCAACACCAAGCTGGCACTCAACATCAGGGTGGCACTCAACACCATGACTGGCACTCAACTTACCTCAGCTCTCTACTGATAATTTTCGTATATATTCTCAAGTCATTGGCAGTTTTATCATGTTGAAACGTCAAATATAAAACGCTTATACCTTATGGTGAATTAAGAGGTCACATCTGGGGTTGAGAAAGAGCACCATACTGTGTGTGTGTGTGTGTGTGTGTGTGTGTGTGTGTGTGTGTGTGTGTGTGTGTGTGTGTGTGTAAAACTTAAAACTCAACACAATAATACATAAACAATAATCAGTTGCTTAAGACGACATAAACAACACGGGATGCTGACAACTTTGTGTTAGAAGATAAGAAATTTAGCGGGTAACTTGCCAAGAATTATACGAGGGGTGAGTTGGATAATTTCACGTGAGAAGACGAAGAGGGGGTGGTGGGTGGGTGGGGTGGATGATGGTGGTGGGTGGTGGTGGTGGTAATGGTGGTGGAGGGTGGTGGTGGTGGTGCTATTCTGTGGGAGATGGTGGTGAGTGGTGATGTGGTGGTGGTGGTGATGGTGGGTTGGTGGATGGTGGTGAGTGTGGGTGGATGATGGTGGTGGTGGATGGAGGTGGAGGGTGGTGGATGGTGGTGGTGGGTGGTGGTGGGTACAGGTGGTGGTGTGGTGATGGTGGTCTGGGGGATGAGTAGTGGTGATGGTGGTAGTCCTCCAGCCAGCTATCTCACTTAAAACAACCTTTTTGTCGACAAGAAACTCTGAAAATTACAGGTTTTTCAGAGACTGGCTGAAGGAGGGAGGGAGGGAGGAGGAGGGAGGAGGGAGAGGGAGAAATAATACTACCTCCCTCCTTCTTCTTCTTCTCCTCCTCCTCCTCCTACACTCCCTCCTTACCCCAAGAAGCAATCACAGGTGAAGAAAAGGTAAATTTCAGTCATTATAAACAAGACAGGTATGACTAAGAGGAGGGAGGGATGGAAGGGGAGGAAGGAGAAGAGGAAGGGGAGAAGGGGTAGGGGAGGAAGGGGTTGGGGAGGAAGGGGAGGGGGAGACTGTACCAGCAATTTCACGAGGACACACCTACCTGCCCTGGGGGAGGTCGTCGACCCATCAAGGTGCTGCTAAAACCATTACCTGAGTACTGATGGAGAGGACGAGGTGAGGGGACGTGTGGGGGAGAGAAACAGGTGAGGGGACGAGGGGGGAAACGGGTGAGGTGGACTTGGGGGAGGGAAAGGCTAAGGGGGAAGGAGAGGTTGAGGAGGAGGGAGAG